AATCGCGTCGGGCTCGTAGGCATGGCCACTATGTCGCGCTCCATTGATCTCACCGACTCCTGACTGCCGCCGAAGCGATTGCTGTCTTCATACACCATGGCCGATCCGTTCCAGCACGAGCTCCGCCTGCCGCGCGGTCGGCAGACGCGGCCCACGGCCGATTCCCCGACGTTCCCACGCGGCACCGACGACCTCCTCTCCAACTTGACACCCAGAGCTGCCGTCGAGGCGTTCCGGAACCCCATGGGCACCTTGAAACAATGTATGGACATGGCTACTCCGACCGAGCAGGCTTTTGCCTTGCGAGCCGCTATCGCATCCAAGAACATCCACGAATGGCTCGAGGAGCTGATGGCGTGGCCATGGCCGTCGGGCGGTGGCTCGGCCGGCTTCGAGGCACCGACTCCGGCACGACGGCGGCTGTTTCACTCCAATGACGAGCAACAAACACGCGGCGACGAATTTCCTGAAGAAAAATACTATGGCGGCGTGTTAGCAACCGATGTCGCCAAATTCGAAGGACGGATAAAAGAGATATCAAGAGGCATGGAGGATCTTGATGTCGAAGAGATTAAGAGCCAGGTTCTCCACAACCACATCATGCCGCTCTCTCGGCCTGGCTCTCCCATGTTGGATACTAACCGCCCGATGTCGTCCCTCGCTGCCTTCGCGACCATGGACGACTTGACGGCCCTAATTACAGCCACTCTTATGCAAGCACTACCGAATCTTTCGCGCCTCACCAGGCTCATGAATACCTGGACTGTCCGACTGCTTGTCCTGAAGAAGATCCCCGTCTTTTTGAGATCTATCACCGATGCCGAGAGCGCCCTTCAATCGGGCTGGAACGCCATCAATTCGAGCTCCAAACCAGTTAATGACGATGCGTCCCCAGAAAGTCCATCCTTCTCGACGTTGTCCCGCAAAGAGTTCGACATCATGAAGTCCATTCTCGAGCGGAAGGTCGCTAAATCAGGGCAGAATCTTGACGTGATGTTGGATATGCTTGAAGGCTCGGAGGAGACATTGCCCGAGCATTGGATCGATCGCGTGGACGCTCTCGAACGACGATATGGGGAGTGGACAGTTGCCTGTGAGCAAAAGATCAGAGAGGCCGATTGGGCCCGAATCATGAAAAGAAGGACCCCTCAGCCAGTGAACCAGCCACAGGCGGAAGGGGTGCCTGACGATATCAAAACGAGCAGCATCTCCCTTCCACCAGCGCCACCGGCGCAGGAGGACGACGCTGTTTCACCCACTGGAACGGAGACCAACTCCATGGAATCCGAGCCGTCGGTCGGCAATTTCTCGCGCCGTCCTAGCGAGCCGACTGAAACATTTACCTCGCTCGACATCTCCTTCCGCACCAGGGAGGCATCCCCCACCCCGCTAATAAAAGTCGAGCCCCCTGAAGAGCTCGAGACGCGGGAAAGCAAGGAGAACGGCGGGGTTGGGGAAAAGGAAGCCACCTCGTTCGATGGGACATCGATTGGTGGAAACTGTGAACTGCCGGATGTGGATGAGGACGTGGACGAATGGCCAAGCATGGTTCCAAACCCTGCACAAACTGAAGATCAGTTAGACCACCGATCTGAGTCCGAGTTTGACTTTGGAGGGCCCGGCGAAACAGATGTTCCCGAGCCAGAGCTCCCAACGCTGCCACGGCCGAGGCGAGACAGCGAATTGTCGAATCCGTCCACCGTCATTCGTGGGCTTCAAAGCGGCGGCTTCATGGACTTCTCCAGTGATCAGCTGGAGCACGGGACACCCGAACTGCCACGGTTACGGGATTCCGATCTTCATCTCATTCCCAGCGACGATCTCAGTCTAGAGGGATCTCCACAAGCCTTCCGGTCCAGTACGAGGTCGCTGTCGGTAAGCTTTCACGATATGCCGACCGTGGCCGAGGTTCCCGACGATGACTCGCGTCCGAGGACCCCGGTCAAATCGTCATTCTTGGAGGATGACATGTCAAGAGACTTTGAGAGCCCGAGTAAGGCAGGTGCCACCAATTCGGATGAGCAACTGCAACAACAAATCAGCGAGATTCTGGAGTCCGTACCCGCCAAGATCCGGCTGAAGGCGGAACCTGCCATCAACCTGAACCCTCCTGACTTCAACATGCCGACTCGAAAGCCGCCAAAGCCCGACCCTTACCCTCGCAGCCAGTCTAGCTTGTCGACGATCTCCACCTCGTCTCGGGCCGGCACCCCCTCGTTCACGCTAGCCCCGGCGTACGGTCGCAATAACCGAAGCCGCCACCAACACGGCAACCAGGAGATCAAGCTGTACCATCTTTCTAGGTCAAATGGCGAAGCGCCCATCAAACTATTTATCCGGTGTGTTGGTGAACATGGTGAGCGTGTCATGGTTCGTGTCGGCGGTGGCTGGGCCGATTTGGGGGAGTATCTGAAGGAGTATGCCAGCCATCATGGACGCCGATCCGGTCAGAGCAAGGTCGAGATAAAGGATCTTCCGAGCGTCAAGACCCGTGCGACCTCGACACCGCCGCGGCCGCAGTCAGCGCAGGAGGCGCGCTCGCCCATCACCCCCTTGAATGTACGGAAGAGTAGAAAGAGCACAGCGGCGGACGAAATGCCGCCCAAGACGCCGTTGGCTACTATGGCCAAGGCGGAACCGTCGTCGGGCGACTCGGGCCAGTCGAGATCCAGCTCGCGTCTTAGTTGGGCGGAGGAGGACAGCTCGCTGGGGATGGCGGGGCCGCGGGCGAAACAGATTGAGATGAGCGAGGAGAGCAAGGCGTGGGTGGAGAGCGTCAAGGAAAAGGTGCGGATAGCGAGCGGCGAGCGCAAGGTGTCGGAGTCGTCGTCGGGTGCGCAGGCGTTGATGGATGGCAAGTTTGGAGAGATGGGCAAGGTTGGGGCTACAAAGAGGCTGTTTCGTCGGCAGGCGTAACGGTTGAGATGAACCTAAGGGACCAGGCCTTGCGGGAAAGCAAGCATTGTTGGGATACATTGGACAGGGCATTGCATTCTTATGGGCTAAGGAACTGTTTTGAGGTTTTTTTTCCCCGCTTCCTTTTGTTTGGGTTTACAAAACGGTCATTTCATCGAATACCCATTTCTTTTTTTGAGGGAGGCAAGGTTGATAGGTAGTCTGGACATGCAAATATTTTGTGCTCTAGCGTATGCTGGTGTTCGTCATACGATGGTGATATAATTGTGACGACTGGGCTTCCTCCGAAAGGATTGCCAGAATTTTAAGGTCAGCAGCACCCTAAAATTCCAAGTGTGGTTATATGTCAGCACGATCCCCAGCCAGGGCCGTGACTGTAATGGTCTGTGGAAGATTTGGTGATAGGATGTCCGTGTGGCGATTCAGGCACCCCGACGGGTAGCGGTCACCACTTTATATTTCTTTGTTTTACTTGCCTGCCGCCAACTGAGTTAAACGGGTGAAGCTATTCGGAGCCAACCTGGTTAAATCAGGGTCTAAAACAGAATAGATAGATAGATACCTTAGGTAGATGACTTGGCCCAGCGAGGGCTGGGCTAGTTCTTACCTCGATACACACACACACAAGATTCCCTGCGGAGATCTTTAGTGTTTCACAGTTGGTGGTATCGGTCTGTATTCTGTCTGGATGTGTTATGGGCTTGTTATTTGATGTAAGTCTCTTAACTACGGGATAGGTCTGTTTGGTTTGACGGACGGAATATGGCGACGGCGGTTGAATCGTAAGTAGGTAGGTAGGTAAGTAGAGTTGTTGATATCGTGAGCGAGGGCTTGATGAGCCTGCTGAATAAAGGTGCGGACGGTGGTGTGGTGGTCGGTGGTGGTGGTGGTGTCTGGCGGAGCTGTTGAGATAATGTTAGAATACAGCAGTTATTCATGCAGGAAGGTTGGCTGTGCACCTGCTTTCTTGTGTACATGGTAGTATAGGTCGGTAGGTTGGTATTTACGATATGTATGACTGCGATACTGCGATGTAGAGATGTCTTCAGGGCCTTGTTGACGTTAATGAAATCTTGAGAGAGGGAGAGCATGTTTGCAAAAAGCGATACGATTTATATCGCCAGCGCTACGTGTAGCAGCGGCTAGCCCGTCTTATGTCGGATCCCCTAGCACCGCCTCCTCTAATATCACATCCCGACAGAATGCCTTTTCCCGTCCCAATCTCCCCAGGGAGGGTTTTCCGGAGCCTGCAGCTGTAACGCTATAGCCAGGACAGCAGGAGGAAGAGAAGACTTCAACGACACCAACAACGCCAACGCCGCAACACCGTAGAGGGAACAATATAGAAGAAGAGGCGGAAATCACGATGGCGCCCACGCAACGAAGTCGTCGCCGGGTTGCATTTTAGAACAGAAGCACACAACGCTTGGTCCTTCGTCCGAGGCACGGTACCTTACCCCGGCGAAGTACAGAAGATGATATGTTTCACAATGGTCAGATGCTCCGCGCGCTGAGGTCACTATCAATACCAATATGTAGCAGGCAAGGGGAGTATGTGCCGATGGTAGTCTCCAGCCTGTCCGTTCCGGGGCCAGCGGCCCGAGGAGTTTAACTGAGTCTTGAACATCTAACCGGTGGGAGGGATGTGATCTTAGAACGAAGTTGGGGGATATGATTCGTCTAGACACCAACAAAGCCAGAGACAGATGAAGAGATAGAGGCAGAGGCAGAGGCAGAGAGGTCTGGGAATGCCATCGAGGTTCTTCATCAACCGACAACGAGATCTGAAGATCAGAACACCCGTAAACTCGAAATTCCAAGTTACACTACTAAACACAATACTCTTGTATATGTACACAAAGAATAAACCCAGCGGTAACAACAGAGAGACAACCTATTCATATCTCAGTTCCTCTTCTTCCCAGAAAAGTTTATGTCTAAAAAAGTCGACATCCAAAACCCCCTTTCAAACCAAACAATGAGTTAAAGAAACATCAAAAGTGGAGAAATCCCCCCAAGCGATCCCCCGCCCAAGTCCCATCCAATCAAACACCCCCAAAAAGCACGCCAAAAAAATAACCGAGTGGTCCGACTGGGGCTTGAACCCAGGACATTCGCATTTCTAGCCATAGACGGAAACCCCGATGATGACACAAACAGGGCAAGCTTCCACTATAAGAACGATGTGATAACCACTACACCACCGGACCATGTTTGCAAAATCTCCGAGATAAGTCCGCTTATGAACCACCCACCACAACCACAACAGTCTTTTACAATTTTTTTCGTGATGCGACTCCAAAACACAACACCTTCAATAATTTTGAAAGGCTTTTGAGTGAAACAACACACACAAACACACAAACACAGCACAACACAAAATTTCTCGGTTGCATTTCACCTCGGAAGGCGAACAGAACCATTTTGATCGTGAGAGTTGTACGTAATGGCGGTTTTGGTTTTGTGGGTGCAACAAAAGTAGAATAGGTATGTGAGGAAGCGGTAAGGTAGTGAAGTTGCGAGGAAGAAGTAAGTGGTCTTGTCGGACGAGACAGGACAGGAACAGACGGGAAAATAAAATGAGGAAGGAAAGGATCTAATAACTACTGAATAAGAAACAGATCAATAATAACATGTCAAAGCCCGATAGGTATTTGCATCGCCGTACGGAATGATATCATTTGCCGGGCCGGCACCGACATAACTTCTTCCTTCTTCCCTACCTACTTTCGTCCCAACAACGACCTCTCAATGTCAGTGTCGTCGCGACTTCCGCCCTCTCCCCCTCCGTCCCATCGTCGTCACCACGCCAGCGCTGAGCCGGCACCCGGTTTGCTCGAAGTCGTCGTCCGAACCATTGTCGGGAGGGGAGGGCTAGCAGGGGAGTCCTTATCGTGTAGGTATTCACATTGTCATCCCCGTTCATATACCCGTTCATCCCATTCGCCAAAACAAAAGACAGTCCGCAAGAGCAAGGCACAGGTCTACGGCGGGGAGTCGGCGGTCCAAATAATAGCACTGCACGAGCCTGTGCTGCCTTGCGAGCTCGGCCAACCCAAATTTTGTTTAGATCAGTGGGGAATTGGAAGAGGAGCCCCCGGGGAATGGGTATTCAATACCTTACGTCGTGGAGGGGATGAGAGATCCACGGTCGGAGCTCTTCATTGTCGTCCGCATCAGGAACACTGGCGTCATTGACGACTAAGAAGGAACGACTTCAAAGGCTGTGACTCACCACGTCTTCCTGCCAGACAATGCGCCCAGCTCCCGATGTTGATATCGTGCGCGGTGGAAGCGGATCGTCTCAACTTCAACAAAGGGTGTGTGTGGTATTGTCCGCGGTGGGCAGACGCAGCGGTTGAAAACACGCGACGAGTTGGGGGGTTTGGGAGTTAATGCTCCTAGATCTCTTCATCGGGCATTGAGAGAAAGTATAGCACACAGCTGATTGCGCAACTGATATATGCAATATATATACCTTACCTTGTTAATGCGATTGATAGGTATTGGAATATTTCGTCTCAAGCTCTCAGGCTCGTTATTGACTTGTGTACCTAATGTCGCCAAATCCCTGCCAGGACTGTGGAGCGACTAACTGCTCACTGCTCAGCGTGCCAGGGAAACCCAGAGTACAGCTATGCTCCAGACTCCAGACAGACAGCTCGAAAGGAAGCAATCTAGAGGCCTGGTACCGGAAACTACTCCCAGGTTACGTAATCATCCAATTGCAGCGGGAGAACATCGAGTGCACGTGTAAGGAACGACCTGCTGCCTGCCTTCGTGGCTGCCTGCGCGGCTGCCTGGGCGGGCGAGCGATTTCAAAATGGTGGGGGATGACGATTTCTCGGGGCGATGTTCCTCTAGACAATCTATTTAGCAGTGGGGCCAAATACAACAACAGTACGGCACGTTTACCCGCCTTTGTTCAACGGCAGACCGTTTCAAAATGGAACAAACCAATGCCGCTTTGCACGAACAGGCGATATCGCCAAACGGGCTCACTACGATTGTAGCTGGACCCGCTGATGCAGAAATCGAGTATGTGAAATGTGCCCCTACAGCCTTCCGAAACGGTCCCACCTGACGAACAGTCGCTGACCACTGCTTCGAAAGTGTGATATTTGTGCACGGGTTCACGGGCGATCCCCAGCGGACATGGACTCTCAAGAACGGCCACAGTCTTGCCCGAGGCGAGGATGCTGGTGCTTCAGAGCGACCTAATAAGGTCCGCCGCATCATGCCCTTCACCGACGCCAGCCAACGTTCGGACGGAAGCAAAGCCGTCTATTGGCCTCGGGACCTCGTTCCGGACGTGTTGCCAGGCGCCCGGGTGATGACATACGGATACGACACACATATCAGACATGCTACCTTTGGCCCTGCCTTGAGCAAGAGTCAAGTGTACGACATTGCATGGGACTTTTTGCAGGAGATCACCGCGAAGAGAGAGAATTGCCCGACGAGGCCCATTTTGTTCGTTGCACACAGCCTGGGCGGCATCGTCGTGAAGGAAGCACTGCGCAGGTCTAGCGGCTGTTACATGGGCCACTCTCACCTCAAAAACGTGTTCACCGCAACAGTCGGCATTATCTTCTTTGGGACGCCACACAGAGGATCAGACCCGCGAGGCTTGCTCAAGAGCGTCGCCGAGAGCCTTGCAAAGATTCTCGGTTACCGGGCAAACAAGCAGATTATTGACACCCTATTGCCAACTTCAGAGCGTCTACGGGAACTCAGAGACGAGTTCGGTCCGCTCGCGCACCGGCGGGGCTGGATGATCCACTCATTTCAAGAACGGCACGGAATTGCCGTCTTGAATGGTGACAAGGTAGTTGAGGACATGTCGTCTTCGATGGATCTCCCCGCGATCGAGATGACACAGCACATCAACCGAAACCACATGGAGATGTGTCGGTTCTCGGGTCCAGATGACATTGAGTTCCAAAAGGTCGCCACCGTCCTCACCAAGATTGCAGCCGGCAGTCGAGCCTTGGACCGGGAGACCGACGAGGCCGGCCCTGGATCGTTATCAAAAGCCAGTAGAAAGATTCTTCTCAAAACTCTAGGCTTCGATCGGATTGACGCTCGCAGGTTGGCCATCAAGGCCTCCCATCCCAAAACGTGCCAGTGGCTCCTCGAACAGCCAGAGTACCTCGACTGGACCAATGCATCCAAACTGACGGCCCACCACGGGTTTCTCTGGATCAGAGGGCATGCTGGTACCGGGAAATCCATGCTCATGAAGTTTGCTCTCGATCGCGAACGGAAGAAGAAGGACAAACTCGTCATATCGTTTTTCTTCAATGCTCGGGGGCACGAGTTGGAAAGATCAATGCTGGGCATGTACCGGTCATTGTTACTCCAGATCCTGGAAAAGGCGCCGAGATTGCAAAAAGCTTTCGACGTGCTTGCCCTTACCGTGGAACCCAACGATGGGTATGAGTGGAGTATCGAGTCACTGAAGACGGTCCTCCAACAGGCAGTTCTCGAGCTCGGCGGCACCGCTTTGGTCTGCTATATCGATGCACTTGATGAGTGCAACGAGAGCCAAATCAGCGATATGCTGTCATTCTTCGAGACCATGAGCCGAGAGGCCACCGTCACACACGGTATCAATCTCCGCGTCTGTCTTTCCAGCAGGCATTTTCCTGCCTTCGACATTACGACAGGTCTCAAATTCGACCTCGAGGGACAGGAGGGTCATTCGCAAGACATTGAAAACTACGTCGATAGCGAGTTGAAGCTTATGGGTTATGATGATGCGGCTCAGCTGAGATCGGATGTTAAGGCAAAAGCCAAAGGCGTGTTCATGTGGGCCGCGTTGGTCATCGACTTGCTCAACAAGGAATACAACCGAGGCAGGCTCTCTTCGCTCCGGGACGTATTATCACGTATCCCAAGCGGCCTTCACTCTCTGATCCACGATATCATGACCCGAGAGGACCAGGGAAATGGAAACCTCCTCTTGTGCATCCAGTGGGTGTTGTTTTCACGGCGGCCACTAAGACTCGAGGAGCTGTATCACGCCATCACTGCGAGCGCCGTTTTCAAGGGAGACATCGAGAGTCAACCTGTCGGGCAGGGCATCACTCTCCCAACCGCAGATATAATGCGCAGGCTCATTGTCGACTCGTCTAAGGGCCTAGTGGAAGTTGCTCCGTCTATTCCTCCAACCGTTCAGTTTATCCATGAATCCGTCAGGAACTACCTGCTCGACGAAGGCGGCCTCACGCAGCTATGGCCTGCCCTCCAAGATGGACCAGGACCTGAGGGCCAGAGCCACGAACGGCTGAAAATGTCATCCCTTGCGATCTTGAAGGGATACAAGATCGATGACGGTACACGCGATACCCTCCTGTTGAAGACATCCTCACCCGAATACCAGACGCGTCGAGATGCTATCCTCAAATCGTCCCCGCTCCTCCATTACGCCGTCACCAGCTTGCTCTACCACGCGGACAAGGCTCAGGAGTATGGAACTTCGCAGGTTGCGTTTCTTGAGATGCTCGGGGCGGATCTAGAGTCTTTCATCACACTTACGGACCTGTTTGAACACCGCGAAGTTCGTCGCCACACGCTAAAAGCTCCACTCCTATACCTTCTCGCCGAGGCGAACTGCCCAAGTCTCTGCCGGGTGCATCCGGACCCCTGGTATTTTCTCCAAATGACAACCGAGCGACACCACTGCCCGCTATTTGCCGCTCGTGCTGTCGGCAACGACAGCGTTGTTGCCACGTTCCTCGAACTCCACACCGCTGCGACGCCGACATGCGGCAGGCCAGGACCTATACGGGACCTCATCCACCAGTATTTTGACGAAGTCCGGGACCGGCCTCGTATCGAGCGTGACTTTACCGTACGCGGTAACGTCGCCCAGGCATGGTCCAAGATTCTCGACAGCGGCGATGAGACGCTGCTTTTCATTCTTCTTACGACGTCACATGTCCCCTGGCCCGAGTTTTTTACCGAGCCAGTGTTCATCCGGGAAGGTGAACTACCGCCGCGGACGCAAGCATTCCTCCGGGCGGCATCACGCGGGCAGATATCCATAGTCAAACTGCTGATCGCCCTGGGGCACATAGAACCCGATGTTCGCGATAATGAGGGCATGACGGCGCTCTCATGGGCGTCCAAGCACGGACACGTCGATGTCGTTAGCTTCTTGTTGAGTACAGACCGAGTGGATGCCAATTCACTGGATCAAGATCAT